TCAGAAAATTATAATAGAAATGATATTAAATGTGAAGTACTACAATTAATGTAATCGGTAAAGGTAAATATTGTTTTTAATACATTTTTGTTTAATTTGATAAAAATATTTATTTATTAAAGACAAATCTGTAAATACAACCAATCAGTTTAACATGCGAACAAGGCATTTTCTTGATTGTACAATTTTATTGACTACTATAAATAATCTATATGATATCAGGTCCATGAGTTGGTTAAAGCGAGAAAAATATAAGAGGATAAATACCTATACAAGTGAATGCGATGGAATGTTGTACTTCCTTAAATTACAAACTAGCAAATATTTTATGTTTTTGCCAAGTGCAGGGCAAGATACACAAGCACACCCAAACCCGGCCAGAGAAAGTATCTCAAGGACTAAGCCCATTAGCCCACTGCTGTTGAACCTTTTTCGTAGCAAGTCCTGGCATTTCTTTGCTTGCTTTTGCATGAAAATTCTGCCAAAAAAAAAAAAAATGTAAAATACTTTAGCCAACATAAAGGGCTACACTAGCACACATGCGCATCTAGGATGGCAAATGTAAGTACAGAAACAACAAACCGTCTTGAAGCTGAGCAAGTCAAGTGTATGAAATGTAACAAAGACCTAACGAGAATTACAGCCTCAACATGCACATATACGGAATAATGAGAAAATATCAAAAGTGCCCAGGCTCACGCACACACTTTGGTCTGTGGGCTTGGACTTGGACTTGGACGTGCACGTGGACGTGGGACCCGTCCAGGCTCAATGTCAACTTAAAGCCCTTGCAGCTCGACTGCCGCCGGCCACGACATTGAGGTTGAAAAGAGCCATTATTACGGCAGGGGGGGAGGCTTCTGCTCTACTCCCACCATCTTAATTTTCTTTAAAGTGCCGGCGCAGAAAAAAACTGACGCTAATGAGCTACTTAGGCAATGACTTAAGTCGTTATTGTGCTGCCGCATATCATCGCATTACACATTACATTACACACACGCACTGTTGGCCCGTAATTTGAGTCCCGCAAAACCCTTTCCAAGTTCTAGGTTTTTGTCTTAACTCAAAACTTTGGCTAGGACTGAGATTGGGGTTGAAATTGAGATTGGGATTGGGGGAAAGTTGCTCGATTGAGCCACACTTTTGATCCTGGTCTCAGGCCATTTATTGCTCCATTGTGAGGGCTGGCTTTTGTGCTTGATCCGTAAAATGGTATATAATATTCGATTAATATTTCAATAAAGTGTTTGCCCCCTTCACGGATTATAATAAGGTCCATTGTGCGACCCTTTGGCACCGCACTGCACAAAGGACACAATGGCCGGCAGCTTGAGTTTACCAGGGCGGGCAGTGAATAATGTAGTTTCTCGGAATTAAAATTTCTTCCCGTTCTTGGGCGGCAGCCAGCCACTCCTCCATTCAATAAGCGGCCTTTTGTAGGTTTATTTGTAGATTTGGTTGACCCCAGATTGAGGCACTTGCTGAGCGAAATTGCAGCCATTACGTGGAGGGCGAACAATGCCAGCTGATTTTGGGGCCTCACCGCGGGGCTCTGAATTATGCGTCCGAAAATAAGAAGCACCCAAGCACGCATATTGGGATACACCTCATTAGGTTCGGCATTAATCAGGGAACACAAACTTTCACCGCCGTCGCCGACGGCAGATGATGTCAATTAAATGCGCCTGTCAAAATATTGGCTTGCTCCGAGTGGCAACAAAGACCCAAAAATAGTTAAACCCCGAGACAATCTCGAGTGGACCGAAATCAGCGTCATCGCGCTCTAAAAAGCTGTTTTATTAATTAAATCGAGCAGGCAAGTGTCAAATCAGCGCCTCGGCAACCCCCCCGGTCTGCGCCACCTCCCCTGCGGCTTGTATTGCGGTTCAATGTGCGACGATGACGGCGGTGGCGGCAGCGGCGGCGAACAACAATTTTGTGCATGTCAACATGGTGTCATAATTAAAATGTTCACCAGGCCATGCCACTCGCCGAGTCGCCTCCCCATCCGCCTGTTGGGCCTGCAAATTGGAGGTTTTACATGCCAACCCCGGACAAGGCCAATGGCGACAGGCATTTCCTTTCCCAAAAATTCGCCGGGAGACATGTTTAACGATTGGACACAGATATGTCTCGTTTTTGGCAATGCATAGCGAAAAATCAATTTTAAGTGGATAATAGGTAAAGGTATTAATTTTAATTGGACTTCATTTAAATATACCTAGAATTTGTTTGCATACAAATATACAAATTTAATCTGTTGAGTTTAACTGACAAACAAGAACTTTCCCTGAAAAGCATTATGCATATCTAACAAGATAACGATTTGTAAAATAAAAAATGCTTTTTTAAGTTTAAGTTGATAAGAAAAATATAATAAGTAGAAAAATATGTTTGAAATCTTATTCAGTCGGAGTTTAAGTATTGTGTTTCAAAGGACAAACATTTGAAATAATCATTAATGAGCTTCTAAAATTTAAATGTCTGTTGTTATGCTGGCTTATAGAACACTTATTTATTTTTTTAGCAATAATGTTACTTAAGCACCCTTATTTAAATGCAGACTTTAAATACAAAAACTGCGTTGAAAAAATATATTAGATGGCTACACTATCTCGTTTTGAATGTGAAATAAAAGCCAAGCCATACACAATAGCAATCCTCCGTGTAGTTGGTAGTTGGATGATTAGTTTAGTGGTTGGCTGCTCTAACGTTTGTTGGCTTAATTGCCACCACGCTAATTTGAGTGCCTCTGGATCATGATTGAGGAGGTGAGCGGTAATCGATGCCCCAGAGCGACTGATACACGAACTCATGTTCGTAAGTAGGAAAGTTTTGCCATTATAAATTGCCATTTTGTGTTGTTTAGACTGCTTAAAATTCGCTAAAAACATGTTTGCTCGTTCGCCAGAGCTAGAACTTTATCCGGGCCACTTAGGCTTGATTAATGTGCCAGCAGTTGCCGGCGAAACTGGACGCTGGCCATCGTAAATAAAAACGATCCCTCTACTGGCTCCTTGCCCATGGCTCGGCTTTTATTGTCTCAAGGTTAATTTGAATGGCAAACTTTACGTAAGCATTCTTCTATATTAAGATACTTTGTTTCGTTCTGCTTTCGCTTTTCACTCTATTATTATTTTATTCAGCTACTTTTTTGCCTTTTTATTTACTGTCCAATGAGTGTTTGTGTGTGTGTGTGTTGTCGTTGCGGAGGAAAGAGAAAAATAAAAAAAAAAAATTAATCAAAAATTCTGGAGACAGGCGAGTTACAGATGGAAATGATATGGAGGGGAATGCCCTAGGACATTTGCATTTTCCATTTTGCTCCGTATTTATCATGATTGCAATAAATAATATTGTGGTTTAACCCACCACTGACCATTTTATTCAGTGCTCAGTGCAGAGTGCACAGTTTTTCTGTGTTTTCTGGCAGACAGTTAAGTTTTTAAACGTTTTAAATTGTTTGCCACTGTTGGCAACGAGTTCCGTTGCGCAAAATGGCCACTTTAAGCTGAAATTCCTCGGGGGTCAGGCGAATTGTGTGCCAATAGCTGTCAGAGGGGTTCAGTCGCTGTGATTGAATGTTTCACTCGATGGCTTCGGTGAGTGACTGCATCGATTCCTTTTGAAGGACGTTTTCAATTTGTGGCAATTTTTAAAGAATTTTCCCCAAAACAGGGCAGCAACGCGCCAGCACGGCAGTTGGTGGCAGCTACTGAGGTTCTGATGTGTTGCCTTGCCCTGGCACGGGAATTTCTCTTGTGAATTCTCCATCTAGTTTGTTACGTCTCTCCTCGTTACATACATATACCTACACTTGCGTTCGAGGGTTTGCATGTACAGCTTATGCCCCACAGAAATTCAAATTCACCAACCGGCAGACGCAGACCCGCATGATAATGCGCATATTTCTATGGATTATAGCCTACTTTTTGGGGTCCGTTTGGAGCCTCCTTCGACTGTATTAGACAGTCGGGGGCTCGAGCTCGAGCTGGCGGAATTAGACACAGTAGGAATGTATCCGCCACTCATATGCATAAATATCTGTGCGTTTATTCTCTGCGTGACCCAAGAATCGAGGAATGAGATGGAATGGGATGGGTTGGATTGGGCTTTGTTGGGAAAAACCAACGAAAGCACCGCCGAACGATCTGACAATTGTGCCGGCAACTCGGAAAATTTGCATATAAAGCTGCCGCAATTTTGCGCTTTGCATGTTGCTAGCCGAGCGTTTGGCATCATTTCAGCTATTAGACGCTTCATTGTTTGCAAATATGAATACTCAGCAGCGATGGCATCTATTGACGTGCAAAACTGTCTAAATTAGGTAAGGAAAATTTGCTAAAAATAGCACAGTGAACTACTTAGATATTGCGAAAATAAACCTAAGAAAATTTTACGCCAATTTAGCCATAGATACATTTAGGAAATAAGGATAATCTAAATAATAATGGAAGAATTTAAAAATTAGTTCGAAAAGCTGTTCTATGCAACACTTCTACATTTACTAATGATTTGGATAAATATTTTTAGTAAAAATATTTTTTATGTGGTTTTTATTAGATTTAAAAACGAAAATCAAATCAATTTTGATTAGTTGGTCTTGATAAATATTTTCATGGGTATAAAATTGCCCATAATGGCTGAACACATGATTTATAAACAATATTAACTCAAATGATTTATTTGGGTATACGAATGTTGATTGATTGGCTTGCAAGTTTTGGTTCGAAACGATTTACTTAAAGCAAATAATTGTTTCCTAGTCAAAGGTTATAAGCTTTGAACACAAGAATATGTAAAATGAAACATAAAAGCTGCCATTTAATCCAAATCAACCTGAAAATAGCCAATCCGGCAGCACACATATAATGCCTTTCAATCGCACAACCCCGCATGTATTTCCATTGTTCGATTGTTGGTGCCGCAACGTCAATTGCCGTCAATTGGCGTCAATTTGGCATGGGATGTGGATTATTGCGCCAGTTAGGAGCACTTACCTCGCACTTGGGCAGCGGTCCCTCCGGCATCTTCACCTTCCAGCCGAGCAGCGGCGGAATGCAGATGAGGGCGGACATTATCCACACCGCCGTGATCATGACGGCGGCCCGCGCCGGCGTCCGCGACTTCAGATAGTCGACGGCCTTGGTGATGCTCCAGTAGCGGTCCAGCGAGATGAGGCACAGGTTCATGATCGAGGCGGTGCAGAGCAGCACGTCCATCGCCGAGTGGATGTCGCACCACCAGCTGCCGAAGATCCAGTAGCCCATCAGCTCATTGGCCAGCGAGAAGGGCATGATGATGAGGCCCAGGAAGAAGTCGGCCACCGCCAGCGAGGCGATGAACCAGTTCTGTATGTTCTTCAGTGACTTCTCCGTGGCAATGGCAATGATCACCAGCATGTTGCCCACCACGATGATGATCATCAGGATGGTCACGATTATGGAGGCAATCACGATGTGGGTGAGCGTGTAACCGCTGGGATAACGTCCATCCCAGTGCACTTCTGTTTGATTCGGATTGGTCAGATTGCCCGCTGTCGCCCCTGCCCCGCCACTCTGATTATAATATCCCGCCGCCAGCTGCAGGCTGCTGTTGTACAAGCTGCCATTTAGCAAAAATATCGTGTCATTCACATTGATGTATCCCGATCCCGGTCCCAATCCCGATCCCGGGGGCAGGGTCAGCTGCCCGTCGACACTGAGCAGGGGCGGATTGAGGGTGGCATTGTTGTCCGGCCTTCCGGTGGTGAACACGGCCAGAAAGTCATCGGTGCTGATGTTGCCCGTATTGATGTTCGCATTCAGCCGGCTGTAGTCCATCGTGATCTGCTTTCGTCTCTAACTAACTCTGCGGATGCTTGGCTAGCTCTAGAGTCTGATTGGTCCCATGCTGCCCGTGTTTACAATTAATTCTTATTGCGCGCGAAATTCCAACCGAATTAATCCTAATAATTTAACTTATTCCTATGGCATACAGCATATAGCATGTAGCATATAGCATAGCATTCGACTATTATTTCGATTATTTATACCCGTTTTGCACCGAAACTTGTGTGTGGCGCGTTCGCGTTCTGTGGCAAAAACGCGCGCCTCTTCCTCTACGTATTTATATATATATTTTTTATGCTTGCTTTTGTTTGTTTTGTTTTGCTTCGATACGAGATCTTTTTGTGGTTTTTTTATTGTGGCTTAATCAATTAGAGTCTACAGTATGTACAGTGGCGGATACACGGACACGGACACATGACAGAGACGCGAGTACAAAAAGACTGCTGGCTATTTACAGGAGGATGGCATTGTGGCTTGGCCGGAAAGCGATCCCATCGATCCGGCTCACATGGCGTATGCGTTACGGGTCCGCTGCGGGCCGACTCATCAGTCAGACATTGCGCCCGCTGGCATTAATGCTTAATTGAATAACTTGCGCTTTTTCACTGAAACCGAAAAATAAATTGTGCGGATCTCTCTGCTAGATGGATGCGCCGATGAAAGCTGTTTTTGTTTCGCTTGATTTTCGATTTGATTTCGTCTGATTTCTTGTGATTTTTTCTAATTTCTGTTTATTTACACAAAAACGCGCGACCCGCGATTTCGGCCCTCAGTCAGGCGTTGGCATATTTCGGCGTTGGTCTTCTTGAACAAAAACTGTTGCCTTTCCGGCTGAATTTGGTTGGCTCTTTTGGCTGGTGTCGGCTACTTGGCCAATTGGCGCGCCCGGGACACGTTCGCACCGCTGGAACTGCACATCCTAACTGAACGCCGTCCGCTGGCGCTTTCATCGCTGCCCAGCTTGCTACCAAAATCGCCGTCCACAATTGCCAGTGCTTCGTGCTCGGCTTTCCATCGTTTCTTCGTCGTTTTTCGTCAAGGGAAATTCTCTCTGCTTTTCCACCGCTCTCTCTCTAGCTCTCTCTCTTTCTCTCGCTCGCTCCCTCTGTGTTTTTTCTGTTTTTCCGAAAGCATCCAAGTTGTGGGTGCCGTTCCATGTGGTGGCTTATTTGAAATGCTCATCTTGAGTGTCCCGCACTTGCAGTGGTCGCCTTTGTTTACCAATTCCATTGGCAAGTGTTGCGGTGTCAACAGATTAAATTTCCGGCAATGTAAACAACACAACACTTTGCTCGAATAAATAACTGAGCAGGCAATTATGAACAAAAAGTAATTATAAAATGTGAGTATTTATCTTGTACTTTGTTTATGGGGGTCAATATGAATACATCATTCTTTATTTAAATAGACACTATACAACATCAGTTCAATGAAGTAATTCAAATGGGCTTGTGATTTACTTAATCATTATTTTTGATTTGCCAATAACTTTAAGAAACATATACAATGCTTTACTAACATTAAAGGTTAACAATAATTTCGAAACAACATTTTTAACTTGTACTCTGATAAAAGCCAAATTTTAATTTCACAAAAATAAACTATTTTTAAAAAGTTGTTATTAGTAAGGTTTTAATATAATTAAGAATATTTTAGATGCCTATTTGCTTGGTTTAATCACTACAGTGAATACAAATTTTAAAGATTAAAAACATTTTGTCTTAGCCGTTTTTGTAAGTAAGATTTCATTTATTAGGTCAGCTTTAATTGAGTTAAAATTAACCAATGATACTCAAAACAATAGTATTGTTTTAGTATCGTCTTTCGGTTATAGGTTTTGTACTTCGTATTGATTGGAGAACATTTATCGAAACAATAACGTCATTATCTTTCAATTAATCTAATCCATTCTAAATTAATATCGTATTCCACTTGTTTTGCACCGCTTGTTGCCACTTGCACACTACGTTCCACAAGTGCATGTTCAGAGGGAAATTCAACGCTTTTCCACTCTTCGATTGCTTCGTGGGAAATTCTCTCCGGCCATTCGGCGTTCCATTTTCCGAACCATTCCCCACTGTGTTGCGCTCTGTTGTGCTTTGTTTGCCTTTGTCCCAGTGGCCTAAACCAAAAACCGAAACTTATTTTTGTGGCAGCACTTTTCACGCTTTGCCATTTTTTGGGGGAGGTGGTGTTGGGGGTGAATCCATTTTTCCTTCTAAGAGCCCCGTTTACTGCATATGTTTGCTAAGGGTTGCTGCTGGACAACTTCGCTGTCCATGTGTGCGCGATGCTACCTTTGTTTACATTTTCGTTTTAACCCACATACGGGCCCTGTTTTCAAGGCAAATGTTGGCCGGGCCCGCCTTTAAACACTTCTCAGGGGAACGAGGAGAAAAGGAGGGTGGGCAATAAAAGCGTAATGAAGCCATCCACCTGCAAAAGGTGTGCGGGCATCGAAAAGGAAGGCGGCTCAACAGCCAACATATCAGACACATTATGCGCGATAGTCACGTCTGCTGGGCACATAATTGAAATGCGAACTTGAGCGTATCAATCGGGCAAACAGGTTGTTGTTGTTCCATTCTGGCTGCTCAATGAAATCAGCTAGAAATTATGATAATGAAAGAGCCGACTGCTGGAAGTTGTTCACCTTCGCTTTGCTTTTTATGTACTACCCATCGTCTTGTTCATCAAGCGTACACGGTGCGTATGAGTTATTTGATTATGTTAAGCATACGTCTTGGCGCTGCCGCGCATAATTTCAAATTACACGCAGCACACATCAGCATCTCAAGGCATCAACATAATAAATCCGAAAAGGCCGTTGCCTGACAAACAAGATCCCCTCCCGACCATGCACCCACGCACTCCGCAGAGTGACAAATTCCGGAAACAACAAGCGACAGCAGCAGCAACTCGGCAGCGGGCACTCATCTTCAATGCATGGCGGAAGATTGCCTGTCAAGCTCTGATTATGTTAACTGCCAACGAAGGAGCTGCCAGCGAATTGCTAGCGATGGGTCCTCATATCCCTTAGATATGCCGCAAAATCGATTCTATGAGAAAGTCCAGGTGAAGAAGTCGTATAAGATTCATGTCCTTTAACATGCACCTTCTGATAGAATTAACAAAACATTTTAAAATTCATTTTAATTATTAATCGATTTTTCGTAAGCACTACCCTACATTTAAACACAAAAATTAGGATTTAAGAGTTTCATATTTATCAAATATTGCCGAAGCAAAGTAAAGGCCTAGATTTAAACATTAATCTTACCTGATCCTTCTCATAGAATTAACAAAGCATTTTTCCATAAATTTAAATTATAAATCGATTTTTTGTAAGCACTCTTAAACATTTAAACACTTTAATTAAAAATTAATTAAAATTTCAAATTTTAATAATTATCAAATATTGCCGAAATAAAGTAGATTTCTTAATCTGAATCCTATTGAACTTTCTTAAATGAATGAGGGACGCAACCAAATATAAAAATAAGAATATCATCATTAATAGTTGAATTGTATTTAACTGTTTAAATGATATTTAACATATTTTCATTTATTCTTACATTTCTTTAAACTAACCTAAGCTTCAGTTATTTTAATAATTGAATTCAATTTAATTTAAATTTTTCCATTAATTATATTTCTTAGACTGCATTTTTAGTGCATCTCAGGCACTTCGGATGCGGCACAAACTCCGGGTGCGCATACATTAAATTATATGCACATATATCAGAGCGGCTGCTGCAGTTGCTGTCGCTGCAATTTCACCTCCCAGCTCTTCATGCATCACGCACCCTGCCGATTGCAGAGCTCCTAATGGAAGACGACGAGCTGCCAGGTCCCAACCGAACGGAACTGCATTGAGATTTGTCCGGGCTCTCGCCCCGTTCTTTGTTGTAACTGTGCTAAATCTACTTTTAATTCGCCGCACGTTTTCCATAATGAAATCGGATTTGTGGGCCGTGGGAAAATGGGAAAATGCGGCAGACAGAGAAGCGGAGGCGGGTGCCATAAATTGAGCACTCAGAAGCACACTGCGCTCTGTCGCATTCCAAAATGTTGCCACTGTGCAGAGGAAAGTGTCCCAGAAATGTAGCGGAGTGGCTAATGCCGCATTTTGAGGAATGCTCAAATGCAGCACACTAATGGCAGCAAATATATTATGTCTGCTTATCATTCGCATTAGCTGGCTAAAAGATTTTCACATGCACGCTGTGTTGCTGTGTTTGGGTGCGAAACAAAAAAACACGAATGGTAAATGGCAGCAGCTCATGGCAGCCAGGCAGGAAATTGCGCTACTCATACGCACCGTGGCCCCGTCTGCTGCATTATCTTAATTTAAAAGCTCGCAGCAGCGCTGACTGGCTGCTCTGCTCGTTTGCCGTGTTTTAGTTTCATTAACTCGGCTGAAAAGCCATTTATCAAGCTGTCAGCGCCAATTATTTATATCCCGCTACCAGACCCCACAACTCAGCGTAGAAATATTATAGAAATATTATCATGGCTTGGCGGAAATAAGTGCGTCGGATCAATCCGCATTTGGCGTTAAATGGAATGGCAAGCGCTTGCCGTTAAATGCGCAACAAAATTAAATTAATTGCCAGCCTTTTGCCCCCGCCCTCCTCCGCCCACTCGTGTTTATCGCCAAACAATTTAAAGTTTTAATCTCTTGACGCATTTAAGCCAATGGCCCAGGGCTTTCAGAGCGGCATTAGCCTGGCAATTAACCAACAACATTGGGCGACATGTGTCGGCAATGCCCGAGTCCAGAACGCCTGATCCCACATAGCACGGTGTGTTATTCACGCCCCGGTTGGTCCGACATTCAAGAAATTCGGGGCCTACATGGGCCCAGGAAGTGCATAGTTGGCAGCCATTTCGGAGGAACTGGCATCCTTCCGTAAATCTCTCTCTCTCTCGCAAGTCAAGCCAAAGTTTCAGGGCCAAGTTGTCATAAAATTTATGCGTCTAATTACTTGCACTTTTTCTGCTGGGCAACCAGCTCCTCTGCCAAATAAACTCGACTTGATGGACCCATCGGCGACGTCATTTATTATTTTTATGTACACAGTACGAACGTTTTATTGACACGACGGGTTCCAAGTCCAATAAGGCAGCGACAACTGAAAAGACTGTCATTAATCTTTCGTTTTGGCCAAGTTGTGCAGCTAATTGCGCCATTTTCATAGGTCTAGCCTCCAGTCAGGGTCGTTTGCCTTTCCATTTTTTCCCCGTTTTCCCCTTTTTCCCATTGCTGTCTCAATTTTCCCCCCCACCCGCACGCTGACTGGACTGGTATTCATATTTCCATGGCCAGTGACCCAGTCCTGGTCAACTAAGTATTTACAAAGGACCTCGTGACTTTAATGACCTGAATGTTCATCTAAATTTTGTGCGAACCGGGGACGAAATAAACAGAGCGTCAAAAGAAGAAAATAAAATACTGCCGGTACGGCGGCGGGCCAGGTAAAATAATCGGGATTATTTATGTGGCTCGGCAGAAATTTGCTTACATATTACACTTTTTCAACATTCTTTTAATTAGCTGTGCCGCCAACAAAACGAAAAGTTTCAAACAAAAGCGACACAGCACAAATGCTGGGCATGAGCTGAAAAGCAGGTAGTAACTGGCGATGGAGGTACTTTTCGGTGGGTGGTTGGCTTTTTCTGATGGCTGGTGGGTGGGTGGCCGGTCGCTTTGTTTTGCAGTAGGCACCGCGAGCCATGAACAAGCTTGGACTTGCAAATAAAGCAGCGGCGAAACGGAAAGCGAGACGAGACGAAGCGAAGACGGACTTTGTGGAGAATCCGTTGGCAGGCCCACGTCCCTTTTTTTTGGTTCTTTACTGCAGTCAAAGAAAAAGACTTGCCTCCAAAAACACTGCAAACGTTACTTGATGTTTCAGAAAATTCAGAAAAAAATTTAGGATAGCCACACAAATAT